TCCATGATTTGGAATTTTTCTGCATGGAAGATGTGCCCATACTCCATGTATTTCTTGATTTAATCACTTATACTAATGTAGTCTCATAGTCTATTTTATGCCTTAGTTACAATCCAATATAATTTATATATTTTCATAATGATGACATTGTTCCATGTCTGGTCATTGGGAGCCTTCTCAGTTGACTTTTTTGTTCCTTTAAGGTACCACCAGGATTGTATGTGTTTATGTTTGCATGGCTACTTTGTTTCTTTTTCTGGTCTATCCATTTATGTGCCTACACCTTTGCTGGTATCTAGCTGCCTTAACTCATGTAGCTTTATCCTAACTCTTGCAGTGTGCTAGTGTCTTTTCTCTTACAATGTCCCATTTCAGTTTTGTGTTGACTTTTCTGGAACTTTGCCATTCTGCATAAACTTGAGAGTCATTTCAAGGATGTCTATAGCAGACCTTGAAGAAACTTTCATTGGAATTATACTGACTCTGAGGATATATTTGGGGAAAAAATGATACATTAAGAATATCAAAATTTCTAAACTATACACACAGAATGTCTACTTATTTAGACTGTCTTTGATTTCTTTAATTAGAATTCTAAATATAAATCATACAAATATTTTGTTAGATTTAAGCCAATGATTGCATTTTGGGAGTCTGAATATAAATATTGCTGTATTTTTAAATTACAATGCCAATCATTCAATGCTGGCATACAGAAAAATAATTGATGTTTTCACATTAGCCTGTGTCCTGTGACCTTAAACAAACTCTATTATTAGTTCCTGAAAGTTTTGATTAATTTTTAAAGTAGACATTCATGTCATTTTTGAGTGAAAACATTCTTATTCCTGCCTTTCCAATTTGTATGCTTTCTATGTTTCCCTTATTGCATTGCAGTAGCTAAAGCTTCTAATGTGGGGCTGAGTAGTGAGAGGGGACCTCCTTGAATTGCTCTCAATCTATTATGGTTTGCATTTTATTTATCTCCATAAAATATGATACTAGCAATTGTCTTTTTATATGTTCTTTATCAAGTTGAAAATCTTTCTCTCTAGTACTACTTTGCCGAGAATTTTCACTCATAAATTAATTGAATTCTTTCAACTGTATTTTCTGCATCAGTTTACATGCTTATTTTTTTTTTTCATTAGCCTGTTAATGTGGTAGATATTTTTGAAAATGTTAAACTGGTCTTGCATATTAAAATAAACCTTATTTGGCCACGGTTTGTAAACTGCTTCACACATTGTTAAGTTTAGTAATAATTTATTGAGTATTTTTGCTTTGAGATATGGTTCTGATATTTTCCTTTCATGTTATAATGGTTTGGATATGAGGGATAAAAAGATGTCTCCTCAAAGATCATGTGTGAGACAATATTCAGAGGTGAAATGATAAGATCATAAGAGCTGTAACTTAAGAGTGGATTCATTGATAGATTAATAATTTAAAGGACTGCTGTATTAATGTGGTGACAACTGTATGCAGATAGGGTGTGACTGAAAGAAGAAGGTGGTTGAGGGGAGTGCCTATAGAGTTTATATTTTATGCCATTGGAGCTCTCTCTCTGCTTTCTGACTTCCAGGAACTGAGCACCATTCCTCTGCCAGAACCTTCCACCATGATGTTCTGCCTTACCTCAGGCCCTAAGCAATGGAATTTGTCAACCATGGACTGAACCTCTGAAACTGTGAGCTCAAAATTAAGCTTTTCTTCATCCAAATTATTCTTTGGGGGGTATTTTGGTTAAGGGAATTAAAAACTGAATACAATGCTTGTGATGCCTGTATCTTGGCTTTGGTTTATAGTAGTGCTGATCTCATAGAATAAGTTAGAAGGGGTCCTTCTGCTTCTATTTTATGGGAGTAATAGAGAATTGGTACTGTTTTTTTTTTTTTCCTTAAATATTTGATAGTCACAAATGAGACTATCTGTGTCTGTTGCTTTCTTTTTTAAAGGTTATTAGTGATTTTTTTAAATTTTATTTTTTATTTGTACACATGCATAATACCTTTATTTTATGTATTTTTATGTGTTGCTGAGGATCGAACCCAAGGCCTCACACGTGCTAGGCGAGCACTCTACAGCTGTGCCACAACCGCAGCCCAAGGTTATTAGTGATTGATTCAACTTGCTTAGTATATATAGGCCTATTCCTCTTATCTACTTCTTTCGTGACTTTTAGTAGTTTGTAAATTAAAAAAAAATCTTATTTAAGTTTCAAATATTTGAGTATAAATTTGTTTATAATATTTCTTTATTATTCTTTTAGTATCTATGAGATCAGCAATGATAACTCCTCTTTTATTTTATTAACAATTTAAATTTCTCTTTTTTTATTAGTTAATTTGACTAAAGGTTTGAATTTTATTGATCCTTTCAAATAAGCAGGTATTTTTTGTTGTTGTTGTTATTGATATTTTCTCTTGGTTTCATATTCATTGGTTTCTCCTCTAACGTTAATTCCTTTCTTCGGCTTTTTATAGATTTGTCTTGTATTTGTTTCCCTAGTTTCCTAAAATGTAGCTTAGATTATTGATTTTCAGTATTTTTTATGAATTTAATACAATAAATTTCCCTCTTAAGCAATACTTGTTTTTCTATTGTGAAAGTTTGATTAGTTGTACTTTCATTTTTATTTATTCCAAGTAATTTTTAAATTATCTTTGATACATCTTTGGTTTCTATGTTATTAATTTAGTGTGCTTTCTTAATCTCCAAATGTTTTAATATTTTTCCATCTTTCTCTTTTGAATTACTAATTTAATTTCATAGTAGTCTGATAAATTCTCTGTAGAATTTCTATTTTTAAATTGATTAAAGTGTGCTTGTGGTCTACCACATAATCCATCTTGGTAAATGATTCTATGTGATCTTCATAAGAATCTATGTTCTGTTATTGTTGGATGATGCATTCCATAAATGTCAATTTCATCTAGTTGTGTGATGGTATGTTTACAACTGTGTCCTTACTAATTTTCTCACTGCTGTTTCCTTCTCTCTCTCTCTCTCTCCAGTTTCATCATTTTTCCCCATGTATTTTGATCCAGTATGGTTAGATGTGATTGTTTTAATAATCATTACGTATTTTTGGAGAACTTCATTATTTTGTAAGGCCCTCTTCTTTATCTCTGATAATTATTTTTTTTTTTTTGCTTAGAAATGTGTTTATCTGAAATTACTGTGGATTATCCTTTTAGCTTTATTTTCATTGATGTCAACATAGTATAACTTCATCTCTCATTTTTGAACAGCTTTACTGAAATATACTATTCAATGGTTTTTAATATATGCATAGATAAATGCAAACAGCACCACCCATGATTTTTAAATATTTCAAAATCTTCAAAAAAATTTCATATCCTTCCATTGTCACTATCCATCCACTTATCGTCCCAAACCCTAAGCAACCATTTATGCATTTTCTGTCACTGTAGATTTAATTATTTTGGTCAGTTCATATAAATGGAGTCATATAATATGAGATCTTTTATGACTGGATTCTTTACTTAATGTGATATGTTAAGGATTTTCCTGATTTTTTTGTTTGTTTTGTTTAGCATGAAATAGTGTTTCATCTCATTTTAGGACCAAATAATATACCATTTTAGAGATATACTACATATTTTTATTTATCAGTTGATAAACTTTTAGGCTCTTTCCACATTTTGGCAATTATAAAAAATGCTGCTCTAACTTTTTGTGTGCAAATTATTGTGTGAGACACATATTTTAATTTTTCCTTAGGTAAATAATGGAGAGTGAAATTGTTGGTTTATATGGTGGCTCTATGTTAAATTATATGAGAAACTGAAAGACTTATTTGCAAAGTAATTGCCTCATTTTACAGTTTCACCAGCAGTAAATAAGAATTCCAACTTTTCCCTCTTTACATCATCTCTTATTATTATTTGATATTTTTTTCTATCCTTCATAGTTGGTTTAAAGTGTGCTTTGAGGTTTTGATTGATTTGCATTTTCCTGATGGTTAATGAATTAAAGATCTTATCATGTGCTTGCTGGCCATTGAAACTTTTTCTTTGAATAAATGCTGGCTTAGGTATTTTGTCCATTTAGAAAATTGAGATATTTGTCTTTATATTGAGTTGCAAGACTTCTTTGTATTTTTGAATATAGAAGAGGTAGGTTATCTCTAAGATATATTTCATGATTTTCTGTCATTCTATACTTTTTCCATTTCAGGTTTTCCATAGTGTTTTTTGAAGCATAACTATTAGTCCAATATTTTTTTTATTTGTGTTTTTGTGTCATATCTAAGAATACATTGCTAAATCCAATGCCATGAAGATTCATCACTCTAAGAGTTTCAAAGCTTTAATCTTATATTTAAAACTTTAATTCAAGAGCCCATCCTCATTATTATTCATGTTTCTATTCTATTCTAACACTATGTGTTAAAAAGATGATTCTTTCCCCTACTAAATTGTTTTTTATAAAATCAGTTGACTATTTTCCATTTCTTTGTGTTTTTAAAATTACAGAAGAATTTCATAGACAACTCAGGTTTGGGTCATGTTTTATTATCACTATAACAATTTCTGTAATTTAATTGTTATATCTTGATCATTAATTTTTCAGTGATTTTTGAGGTATTCAGTTTAATCTCTACCATGTTTATAACTGTTTTCTATAACCTTATATTATTGTTTGTTTAACTTTTCCCTCTTTTTCTACCTTATCTGATTTTAATGGAGAATTTTGACTCAAGTTTTTCTCCCTTCTTAACATCTATTTTAAAAATTATTTACAGTGATTGCCCTAGAGTTTGCAATACATATTTGTAAATAGTTTCAATCGTCTTTCAAATAACACTGTATTACTCTGTGTAGTAAGGAGTCTGTCTGCCAATCTTTCACCCCATCCCCTGTACTACTGCTGTTACTAATTTAACATATCTATTAAAAAAAAAAATCAACAAATACATTCTATTATTATTTCTTTGAATGAAGAATTATCAACTAGATTAAGAAAAAAATGCTGTCTTCAAAAGGACATAAAATAAAATTGAAACAATACAGAGAATATTAGCATGGCCTCTGCACAAGGATGACATTCAAAGTCATGAAGTATTTTATATTTTTATACCACAGTGGAGGAGATATGGAAATTTTGAAAGTTCACTGTTAAACTGATCTATGAGGTAAAGATAATGTAATGAGTGAAATCAGAGAAAAAATACAAGAACTGAAATATAAGTACAATAAGAAGATAGAGATTCTAAAAAAGAATTAGTTGGAAATCCTTGAAATAAAGAAATTTAAAAAAATAAAAATAAAAACTGAATACAAAAAAAAAAATCACCAATAGACTAGAACACTTGGAATATAGAATTTCAGGCAATAAAGGCAATGTATAGACACTTGAAAATAAATTTGATCATGGAGAAAGATGTTGAAAGTCTCTGGACAGAATTTTTAAGAAATATGGGATAACATTAAAAGGCTAAATCTAAGATTTATCAGGGTTGATGAAGGCTATGAAATATACCCTAAAGAAATTCACAATATCTGCAACAAATTGTATCAGAAAATTTTCCAAATCTCAAGGCTGCTATGGAAAATCAAACATATGAGGTACCCAGGATCCCAAATATACAAAATTACAATAGACCCACACCAAGGCAGATTATTATGAAAATGCCTAACATGCAGAATAAGGATAGAATTTTGAAGGTTGCCAGAGAAAACCAACTGGTTACATTTAGAGGTAAACCAATTCAGATCTCAGCCAAGTTTTCAACCCAGTTCCTAGAAGCTAGGAGGTCCTGGAATAATACATACCAAAATCTGAAATAAAATGGATGCCAACAACAAATACTATATCCAGAAAATGTAAACTTCAGAATTGAAGACAAAATAAAAATCTTCTATGATAAACAAAAAAGTCAAAAGAATTTACAACTAGAAAGCCCACACTACAAAACATGCTCAATACAACATTTCACAAATAAGAAATTGAAAATAAAAATAAAAACAGAGAGAAAAACTGCACTACACTACAAAACCAGTCAGTCAAAGGAGAATCTAATTCAACTTACAAACTAGAAATAAATCAAAATGACAGGAAATTAAATTTTATATCAAAAAGAACATTGAATGTAAATAAACTCATCAATCAAAAGTCATAGGTTGGCAGATTAGATTAAAAAACAATACCCAACAATATGCTGTCTCAAAGAGACTCACCTCATAAGCAAAAACATCCATTGATTGAAGATAAAAGGATGGGGCGGGGTAACCATATTTCTCATGTGGATCTTGTAAATAAGCAGGGGAGAATTTGGAGAATTTTGACTCAAGTTTTTCTCATAACTTTCAGGACTCATAATTAATTTATCAAATATAAAATTATCAAAATAGCAGGATACAACATTAACAACCAGAAAGCTATTGAATTCCAATACTCCAGTGATGAATCATTTAAAAAAGAAATTAGGAAAACCATCCCATTTAAAATAGCCTCAATAAAATAAAATACTTGGGAAAAATCTAACAAAGGAGGTGAAGGACCTCTACAATCAAAACTACAGACCACTAAAGAAAAAAAAATTGAGGAAGACCATTTTTTTTTTTTTTTGGAGAAGCAGAATTAATATTATCAAAATGGCCATACCATGAGAACTACTACACAGATTCAATTAATTACCATCAAAATTACAATCACATTCTTCATAAAAATATAAAAAGCAGCCATGAAATTCCTTTGGAAAAATAAGAGGTCCATAAGAATCAAAGGAATCACACCAGAAACTGTGCACATACTAGAAGAAAACGTAGCTCCAAACACTCCAACATATTGGCTCAGGAATTGACTTCCTTAACAAGACTCCTAAAGCACAAGAAGTAAAATCAAGAATCAATAAATGATATAACATCAAACTAAAAAGTTTCTTCACAACAAAGGAAACAATCAAGAGCATGAAGAGAGAGCCTACAGAATTGGAGAAAATCTTTGCAACCCTTGCCTCAGATAGGGTCTTAATTTCCAAGATATAAAAAGAAATTAAAAAAACTTAGCATAATATAAATAGATAGATAGATAGATAATCCCATCAATAAATGGGCAAAGGTACTAAATAGACACTTCACAAGAAATATGAATAGTCTACAAATGTATGAACATTTGTTCAACATCTGTAGTAATTAGAGAAATGCAAATTAAAACTACACTGAGATTTCATCTTATTCCAGTCAGAATGGCAATTATCAAGATTAAAAGTAACCATAAATGTTGGCAAGGATGTCAGGGAAATAATAAACTCATACATTGCTGGTGGGACTGCAAATGTGTGCAACCATTCTGGAAAGCATTATGGAGATTCCTCAAAAAACAGGAATGGAACCACCATTTGACTAAACTACCCCACTCCTCCATATATATGAGGACTTAAAATGAGGACACTATAATGACACAGCCACATCAATGTTTATAGCAGGTAAAACTACAATAGCTGAGATATGAAGCCAACCTAGGTGCCCTTAAATAGATGAATGAATTTTTAAAATATGGTATGTATACACAATGGAGTGTTATTCAGCCATGAAGAGGAATGACTTTATTGCATTTTTAAGTAAATGGATGGATCTGGAGACTATCATGCCAGGTGAAACAAGGCAGTCCCCCAAAGCCAAAGGTTGAATGTTTTTGCTGATGTGTGGAAGATAACACACAATGGAATATTACTCAGCAATAAAAGAGAATAAAATCATGGCATTTGCAGGTAAATGGATGGAGTTGGAGAAGATAATGCCAAGTGAAGTTAGCCAATCCCAAAAAAACTAAATGCTGAATGTTTTCTTGATATAAGGAGGCTGATTCATGGTAGGGTTGAGAGGGGGAGCATGGGAAGATTAGAAAAACTCTAGATAGGGCAAAGGGGAGGGAGGGGAAGGGAAGGGAAAAGGGAGTAAAAGAGATGGTGGAATGTGATGACATCATTATCCTAAGTACATCTATGAAGACACAAATGATGTGAATATGTGTACAACTAGAGATGTGAAAAATTGTGCTCTATATGTGTAATATGAATTGTAATGCATTCTGCTGACATATGTAACAAAGTAGAATAAAAAAATAAAATAAAAAAGGGGGGTGGGAGAGGAAGAATAGAAATTCAGTAGATTAGATAAAGGGGAATAAAGGGAAGGGAGGGAGGATAGGAAAAGGAAAGGCAGTGGAATGAATCTGACATAATATTTCTATGTACATAAGTGAATATAACACAGTGAATCCCTCCATCATGTATATCCAAAAGATTGCCGCAGTCTGGCTGGGCACAATTCAGGAGCCACTTGTCAAAAGAAAAGATCTTTATTTTTACAACCACACACTCCAAACAAAACAGCTCCTCAGGAAAACCTTCAGAGCCCAACTGCCACCACAGGCTTCCCACAAGCCTCTCAACCTCCCCCACTCCTCCTGCTCTTGAGGCTGATTGGCTGGGTCCCGTGGGAAGAGCCAAAACAAGTCCTCCAATGAGCATCTCCATGGTCTGAAAGGGCGGGGAAACAGCCCAATGAGCATCACCACAGAGGAGCCAAACAGTTGGCAGCTAGAAGTTTGCTGGGGCCGCTGTGAGCCAATCATCAACTGGCAGCTGAAAGTTTGCTGGCAGCTGGAAGTTTGCTGGGGCCCCTTCGGCTGTGGCTCTCAACAAAAGATATATTCCATTCTTTTATTATTATATCAAAATGGATTCTACTGTCATATATAACTAAAAAGAACCAACATATAAAAGAATAAGGAAGCTCACTTTGTTTCACCTTTATTTGTTCTACTCCTTTTTTTTTAGTTGTAATAAGAACCCCCAACATGACATATATGCTCTTAATTTTTTTTTTCACTTGCATAATTTGGCATTGTTAATTATAGGAACAATATTATAAAACACATCTCTAGAACTTGTCATCTTGTATGAAACTTTGTGTCCACTAAATGGTAACTCCCATTTTCTTCCTCCTTCCAGACACTGTCAAACATGATTCTCTTCTTTATTTAGATTAATTTTACTATTTTAGGTATCTTATGCAAATTGAATAATGTATTATTCATTTTCTGTGACTAGCTTATTTCACTTAGCATAATGATCTCCAAGTTCATCCTTGTTTTAGCATATGGTGAGATTTCCTTCTTTTAAAAAGCTGAGTGATATTCAATTGTATGTATGTATTTCACATTTTCTTTATTCATGCATAAGATCTGGACATTCCAATTACTTCCTCGTCTTGGTCATTGAGAATAATGCTAAAATAAAAATGGGAGTGTTTTTATCTTTTAAATGTAGAAGTAAGGTTGTTGGGTCTTATGGTAGTTCTATCA